GGTCCCGAATGCGAAAATATTGGAGGTAATGGAAAAGGAGATCCGGGAAGATGTCGTCAGATGGCCGCGGACGAGAAAGGATGGACCAACAAAGCCCAAAAGAAATCTGTATTGTCGGTTCCACAAGGATTATGGGCACAATACTGATGATTGTAGACACCTCAAGGATGAGATCGAGAGGCTAACCAAAGCCGGTCATCTGAAGGAGTTCATTTATAAGGATCGAAAAAGAACCAGTCGACGCCGGGAAAGAAGCAAGAGCCCTCGCAAGAGGGGGAGGACTCCCTACAAAGAGGACCAACTGACGGAGATTCGAATCGGGCAAGAAAAGCATACGCTCCAGGGCGCTATGGAAAAGCCGAGGTGCAACAAGTTGAGGAGAACGACCTGGTGATGAATTTCGGGCCAGCAGATATGGGCGAAGTCGAGAGGCCACATAATGATGCTCTAATGATAACGGCCCAAGTGTCGGGTTACGAAGTGCAAAGGGTGTTCGTCGACGCTGGAAGCTCGGTCAACATGATCTTCTATAGCTGCCTCAAGAGGATGGAGCTAGACCTTGAGTTAACGCCGTTGCATACATCACTTTTTGGGTTCAATGGATCAGAAGTCTCACCCCTGGGAGAAACCACGCTCGCAGTCGTCCTAGGAGAGGGAGACCTGCGGAAAGTCAAGATGGTGAGATTCATAGTAGTCGATCTCGAGTCCGCCTACAATGTGATTCTCGAGAGGCCGGCGTTGAACGCATTCCAGTTGGTGGTATCAACTTACCACATGAAACTGAAATTTCTGGTAGGAGATCGAGTTGGAGAGGCTCGAGGGGACCAGCGATTGTCGAGAACCTGTTATCAGATAGCAATAAGAACTAATCAGCGCACGGAAGTCAAGGAGGGTAAAAAACCTATGTCGAGTGAAAAAAGGCTCAGGGGGAATGACCTCGAGCCGCATGGCGAATTGATGGAAATCCAGATTGGGGAGAAGGAGGACCAAATCACGAAAATAGGAGGAGAGTTGGAAGATGAGTTGCGTAAACAACTGGTGGAGTTGCTAAAAGAATTCAGAGACATATTTGCCTTCTCCCCTGAGGAGTTGACGGGAATCGACCCAGACATCATGGAGCACAAACTCAATGTCGATCCCCTCAAGAAACCCGTAAAGCAGCGACTCAGGCATCATGGGGCCGAGATTGATAAGGCAATTGAAGTTGAAGTAGACAAGTTGTTAAAAGCCAAACATATCAAAGAAATCCAATTCCCTGAATGGATATCAAACACGATAATGGTGAGAAAAGCGCTGAACAAGTGGCGTATGTGCATTGACTTCCGTGACCTAAATCTTGCCTGCCCAAAGGATCATTATCCGCTACCGAGAATTGATCAGCTAGTCGATTCTACGGCTGGTTGCAAGTTACTGAGTATGATGGACGCATTGCAGGGGTATCACCAAATCCCGTTAGTTCCAAAAGACCAGAGTAAAGTGAGTTTCGTGACGAGTAAAGGAACATACTGCTATGTCGTCATGCCCTTTGAACTCAAGAACGCAGGGGCGACTTACCAAAGGTTGATGGATCGAATGTTTAAATCGCAGATAGGGCGTAATATGGAGGTGTACGTAGACGAAATCTTAGTGAAAAGCAGGTCCTCCACCTCGCATGTCGAGGATTTAAAAGAAACTTTCAGCACACTAAGGACATTTGGGGTGAAACTGAATCCAAGTAAGTGTGCCTTCGTAGTGAAGGCAGGGCGATTCCTTGGATATGTAGTGAACGAAAGAGGGATTGAAGTGAACAAGGATAAGGTGAAGGCCATACTCGACATGGCCCCACCAAAGAGCGTTAAAGAAGTACAAGTCTTGACGGGTCGAATTGCTGGCCTGAGCAGATTCATCGCTCGAGCGGCAGAGAGGAGTTTCCCGTTCTTCAAACTACTTAAAAAGAATGCTTTCCAATGGAACGACGAGGCGCAAATGGCGTTTGAAAAACTGAAAGAATTTCTAGGTGAGTTGCCTCTACTAACCAAACCAGAGCCGGGTGATGAACTGGTGCTTTATATCTCAGTTGGAACATTTTCCTTGAGCTCAGTGTTACTAAAGGAGGCAGGGGGAGCCCAACAGCCGATCTATTATACAAGTCGGGTACTCCAAGGCGCGGAGACGAGATACCCTGAAGTCGAGAAGGCTGCCCTGACACTGGTGATAACAGATAGAAAGTTGAGACCCTATTTTCTGAATCATGTGATAGTAGTAAGGACAAACTTCCAGCTTGGAGAGACTTTGGGTCGACCTATTGTGTCAGGTCGACTCGTAAAATGGGCAGTCGAATTGAGCGAGTACTCCATCAAATACGAACCAAGGCGAGCTATAAAGGCCCAAGCTCTAGCAGATTTTATCCAGGAAGGGACTAGAGGGGAAGAAAAAAAATGGATCATGCATGTTGACAGATCCTCAGCAGCCAAAGGGTCGGGTCTAGGGGTTGTCCTAGTATCCCCCGAAGGCGAACGAGTCGAATTTGCAATTATAATGGGTTTCAAGGCCTCGAACAATGAAGCAGAGTATGAGGCGCTAATTAAAGGGATCCAACTCGCACTTGGTGGCGGGGCGACGGAAATCATGGCCCATTCCGACTCACAATTGGTCGTTGCCCAAGTAATGGGAAGCTGCAAAGTAAAAGAAGACAGAATGATGAAGTATGTCGAGGAAATCCAAAGCCTCATACAAGGTCTGGAGAAGTTCGAATTGGCTCAAATCTCTCGCGAGGAAAACAAGCGAGCCGATTGGCTCGCAAAAATTGCAAGCTCTAACGAAGGAAAAATGGGAGGTCATATTACCACAATGCACCTGGAGGGAAGTGTCCTTAGCCAAACAATGTAAGTCGACAAAAAAGACGATTGGAGGAAGTCAATTCATGAACTCCTGCAGGGACGCATACCTGCAGGAGATAAACAAGAAGAGGAGAAAGCTGCCCGATATCTAACCAAGTACTTTGAAGTCAACGGAATCCTGTATAAAAAGTCGATGATTGGGCCTCACCTGCGCTGCGTTTCCGAAGAAGAAGGGAACCATGTCCTAAAAGAAATTCATGAAGGATTTTGTGGGGCGCATGCAGGATCTTGAGCCTTAGCCGGCAAAGCCTTGAGAGCAGGTTACTACTGCCAAAGATACGAAAAATGGCTGAACAGTTAGTGCGGGGATGCGATAGATGCCAGCGACATGGTCCGATTCCCCATATCCCGGCTGAAACCATGACGACAATCAATTGCCCGATACCCTTCGTTCAATGGGAATCGAGTTGGTAGGACCCTTGCCAATGGGAACAGGGCAAAGGAAATTCCTTAAAGTCTCTGTCGACTACTTCAGTAAATGGGTTGAGGCTGAACCGCTGGCAAAGATTACCGAAGAGAAAATGATACAGTTCCTATTCAACAACATCTGTTGTCGATTCGAAGTCCCGAAGATATTAATTTCAGATAATGGAACTCAATTTCAGGGCAAGCGAATCTAGGGATGGTGCCTCGACATGGGGATCAAACAACGATTCGCCTCGGTGGCACATCTCCAAGCGAATGGCCAAGTCGAGGTGCAAACCGAACTATCCTCCAAGGACTGAAGAAGAGGCTGGAGAAGGCGTCAGGAGCGTGGGTCAACGAGTTAACAACAGTTCTTTGGGCCTATCGGACTACTCCAAGAAGCTCAACGGGCCAATCCCCGTTCCATATGGTGTATGGAATGGACGCGCTCCTACCCATCGAAGTGGGCTTACTGTCTCACAGGTCGACATTCTATGAAGAAGGAAAAAAATGATGAAATGGTTGCGGAAGCTCTCGACTTAATCGAAGAAGGGCGAGAGGAAGCGTGGGTGTGATCCGTCGAGTACAAGCAAAAGATGCGCGTAGCTTTTGACAAGAAAGTTCGAACTCGCCGTTTCCAAGTCAGAGACCTCGTCCTCAAGCGAGCAGAATCCCTCAAGCACGTGGGAAAACTTGAAGCCAATTGGGAGGGCCCCTTCACAGTCGCAAAGGTTCTCGAAAGGGGAGCATACGAACTCGAAGATGGAGAGGGTCGACAGCTACCTCGATCTTGGCACGTGATCCATCTCAAACGCTTTTACGCTTAAGATAGTGCCCCACACTCTTTTGTACTGAGAAAACGTTTCAAATCAAATTCAGTTATGAAATAAACTTCGAATTTACGTTTCAATTGCATCTTTTACATTTCGTTATGTCGACCCTATCATGCTTACTGGAATCGAATTTTTTAAGAACTGCAAAACAGTTTAACATACCACAGTAGTGAATTTAAATAAACTACGAAGTTGTAACTCGAGTAGAATCTCAACGAGGCTATGAAGCCTACGACTACGAAGTCAATTTTGAACAACTACGAAGTTGTAACTCGAGTAGAATCTTGACGAGGCTGTGAAGCCTACGACTACGAAGTTGATTTAAACAACTACGAAGTTATAACTCGAGTAGAATCTCAACGAGGCTATGAAGCCTACGACTACGAAGTCGATTTTGAACAACTACGAAGTTGTAACTCAAGTAGAATCTCGACGAGGCTGTGAAGCCTACGACTATGAAGTCGATTTAAACAACTACAAAGTTGTAACCCGAGTAGAATCTCGACGAGGCTGTGAAGCTTGCGTCTACAAAGTCGATTTTGAACAACTACAAAGTTGTAACCCGAGTAGAATCTCGACGAGGCTGTGAAGCCTACGACTACGAAGTTGATTTAAACAACTAGAAAATTGTAACTCGAAGTAGAATCTCAACAAGGCTATGAAGCCTACGACTGCGAAGCCTACAACTACGAAGTCAATTTTAATAATTACGAAGTTGATTTAGACAATGAAAAATACACTCAAGGATATCAAAATCGAAGAAAGCTCGCCCTAACTACTAAGCATTTACGGTAATGCAGGAACAAAA